AACTGCAATATTGCAAATGAAACTTTTGGTCAAATTTGAAGGCTCTTCCTACAATATTCAATACCTCAACAAGTATAACATAATTCTGCATCCATACAATCTTATTTGCTTAGGAAATCCAGCACCATATAAACAGTACGCCATAATATCCCTATATTACACCCACATTATAATTACTCCGCAATAAGTTCGTAAAAAGATTAGCAATTTAGGTGGAAACCGAAGTACTATTATATCAAAAGTGAGAAATCAATAACCAAGCAAGTTTTTCAGACAGGACTATATTGAGAAATTTGGATCACAAACTAGTTTATGTACAGTAATTAATTTTGTAATAATCAGAGAACAGTGAAATACGACCACTCAAGGCCAAATTGATAGTTTTGACTGGCATCATCTGTCATACACAATAGAGTAAGAAAACTAGCACTTTTGATGAGATTTCCCAGCAAAGCAACAGATGTGGATGATTAAAGAGAAAGCAAACCAGTTCAAGTTTTATCCTTTACCCATAAGAAATACCAAAAGAGAACTAGAATTAAAAAAAAAAAAAAAAAAAAAAAAAAAAAAAAAAAAAAAAAAAAAAGCAAAGCCTAGCTGGGAATCATGGTATTTTGAGCTTGCTGCCTTTAGGTTACTGTGGGTTTGCTGCTAACGATACTTGGGAAAGAAACACTTACACGGTAACAAGTAGAGGGTTCTTGAAAAAATATTAAAATTTATCTAAATTGGAAATTTGCTAATCAGAAAGAAAAGGCACGCAATGATATGAATAAACCACCTATGATAAAATGCAAGTCACTAAAAAGTCATTAATGAAAAAAGATAGCAACGTACTTCTTCGCTTGAGTTTCCATTGCCTCAGTGGTTTCCTTCTTTAACTCTTCAAGCTGTGCCTTTGCAATTTTAAGTTCCAGCTGTTCCTCATATTTGGGTAAATCATTTGGGTTTATTCCAAGCCTGTTTTAACAGACAGATCCATAATTATATGAGATAGATCATTAGTAATAGCCCAAAGATGCATACTCAAATATCTTTTTTTTAAGAAAATATAAAATCATATAGGACCTATTCATCTCCTACATGAATACTCTGTATTTGTTTTCTACTACACCCAACAAAGAGAAACGGGAAAATTTTCAAGCAAGCAAATACTTTGCAATTTAATCAATTTGAACACTCAATTTGAAATATCAAAATAGATAGAAAGTTCACAATTTTTTTTTGACAAATTTACTCTTCTTAGTTTCATTGCCCTTCTTGTCTAATTCTATTATCAAGTTGATTAGTGTGTACGTCAGTATGCATGACTTTGTATAGGAGGATAGATACCACAGCATTACACCAAGGATCAAAGCTTGACTAAAATTTGAAGAATCACAGATGATAATGAAGACAACAAGAGGAGACTTGTTCAAATCCATCAATCTTCCTTTCTCATTTATTTATTTTCAGGAGCCTCAGGTTGGTGAACAGAAGGGCAGTTGAAATTTTCAAAATAGTTTAAAGAGTAACTTACTTCTTGTTGATCTTATCAAACTCAGCCATTAGAAGACTCATTCCTTGGTTGTCATTTCTCATAAGAGGTTTCTTGAGTTGTTTTTCAACTTTATCTAAAGCATCAAACATCATGGCCTCAGCACCAAGTTCATCAGAAAGACCCCTCCTGCACAGTATTATGCCAAATAGAATTAGTCTCAAGAGATAAAAATCACAGGTAACTATGCATAGAAAATATAGAATATACAGATAAGGGGGACATTACAGCAAGGAAAGCATTCAGAGTATTGTACACATACTTGAGTCGTATCTCCTTCAAAGTCAAAAGATAAGTACGAGCATCCTGAATATTCTGAGTTCGGGTTTGGATTGTGTATTGAATCCTCTGTGACTCTGAGAAGAGATCTGCCCTGTATTGTCAAATGGTTCAAAAAAAGAATGATGAGAACTGAAAACACAGCAAAACTATCAAGCATTCCCAATAACAAGCAACTAGACATAGATTAAGCATCCAGCCTCTCTTAAGTGACAAACAATGCTCCCACAATCTGTTGTACAGTTTACATTCCCAGAACCAGTAATCAGAAGTGAAAATATATCAATTGTGAGCTAAAGTAAGTTACACGCAGGCGCGCAGCCTCCCATGCAACTTCAGAAGTTACTTCACTCTTATACTGTCCTAACTACAAACAGATGATTCTGTTACTTCTAATCCTGCATACCTTTTTATTATGTCATAAAGTTCAATTTCTTGTCATTTAGAATATAGGAAATTGATGTGATGTGATGTGATGCAATGATTAGTAAAGACCTTAAGAAGCAAAATGTGTTAAGCATGAAGCAACCTACTAATCAAATCTCAACCTACAAATCATATCTAGGATTCAAGTTCGCATTACCATCGTCACAAATATTGGTCTATCATACAGAGGAAATCCAAGGAAGCAATGCTAAAGGGAAAAAAAATGAACTAAAAAAATAGAGCATAATTACTATTTACAAAAAATAAATAAATAAAAGGATAGAGACATACTTTTCTCTTACAGTCTTCATGACATTAGCGTATTGTTGTACAGCAGCAGGATCCTCTGGGGCTATGGTGATCTTTTCTTGACGAAGTACACCAAGAGCTGTCTCAAACTTCTTTTTAACGTCCAAAAAAATGCCCTTAAGCATCTCTTTTCAGTCAAGCATCATTATCAAGAAGAAAGAAGACAAGTTAATCATTAAGAAAAACAAATTGCTTCATTTAATTTTCTGAAAGAAACAAAACTTGATAAAAGGATCATCACTATATAAGATGAAAATTATTTTTTTTTTCTTGTAAAAAATATGACTCACCATCTCCCTTTAGAGCCTTGGGAGCGGGAGCAGCTTCTTTGACATAGTAACGAGCAGGAATCACATTGTCCTTTGGTAAAATAGTCTGAATAGTATACAGCTGTAGAAATCAAATCAACATATCATAAGTTAAATGAACAGCAACACTAGGGAATTATGGATTCTTATTGGAAAGCCTGCAATACTACAAGAATCAAAGCACAAGAGCCCTGTTCAAGCTAATACTCGGCAAGAAAATCATAGCCCCAAAATGCAGTCAAACAAACGTATAAATCCCAGACCAAGCAAGGAAATATATCTACAACTCCCATACCCCGAAAATTATTAGCAATTAGAAAACATTACCGCAATTAGAACCAACACTTTCCGACTAACAAATGTTTCTATAGCATTGATTCCATGTTCTTTCCCAACACATATTACCAATACATTAGCACATTAAAATATTCAATTAAGAACAGCTCCAACAAATCAAAATCATATACATTTCTCTACCTAAGCTGAATTACGGAACATAAAAATCTGGCAACACATTGCCACCAATCCAATTTCTTTACTAATTGAAAAACCAAAACCCTAAGATCAATAAAAATTAACATCTCATTCTAACAATTATTAGACCTGAATTTGTTCAATAACATCCCATTTCTCGGAATATCGATACAAATTTAGGACATGTAAAGTTCAAATTCATTTTATAGCCTAAATCGAAACAACATTTTTATGAGTCAACGATCAAAAGATCATGAACAAATCGCAAGGAACAAAATTAGAATTGCAGATCAAAATGTAGCATATAAGTCGAAGATTTTGAAATCGGATTAAGAAAAGAGAGATAGAAAATAGACCTGCTTAGATTTGGAGAGTATGCGAGAAGCGAGCGCCATTATCGAAGAGCAACGAGTTCAGTATTGAGTATGAAAGCTGGAAATCTAGGGTTTGATGTTACGAACCAGTTGAGAGATAGAGAGAGAAATGGAGAGAGAAAGGGGCCGATTAAAAGATCAATAAAGCTCCACTTAAATCAGGACCGTTCGTCTCAGGTATGTGTTTTTTGTGTTGATGTTTAATTTCATGAATTTTTTTTATTGTTTTTGAAAATTTGGTAGAAATAATTTCAACCCGACAATAACCGACATGAGTCCTATGAATGGTTTGGTTCTTTGCACTTAGACCATATTTACTATCGGTTAAAATCTCATATCGGTTCATAATACCATTCACGTAAAGATCTACTTTCGGCCATTTGGACACTTACTGTCCACTTGATAAGACACACACAAGGGGCAACACGTAGCACATGCTTAGAGGAATTCTATGAATACCCTAACATTTCTTACTTCTAAGGTACATGATTCTAAACCTAAGCACTCTTAAATTACTTTCTTAACCATATCGAACCAGTACTAACTTTATCATCAAAGCCCGATAGCAGTTAATCTACGTTGATTGTGCGGGTATCCAATTAGGCGATTAACCATTACCGGCCCAGATACAAGTTAACGGACCACACTGAGAACAAATAGCCGCCCAATTCCTAAATGAGATAATTTTACAAAACTTAATAAGAAACAAATTGGTAAATGCAAACTGAGCACGGCCTCACCCCTTATAAAAGATTTGTACTCCGTACTAAAGATTTATCAACAATTTTATTACATTCCTTTTCTCAATTTTATGAGATCTTGCTACAAATTCAATATTACCGAAAATATCTTCCCCTCTCTGATCCAAAGTTGAATCCCTATCCCAACACCTTGACAATAAAGTAAAGTCCGGTGGTAGAGCAAAATTAAGTTTTTAAATTAGACACTATTCAGTTTTGGTAAAGGTTTTTACAACAGCATACTCAAGTGGATTGATAGGATTGAAGCTACTAATACAAACAAAACAAGTAAAATTGGTTTGATAAGATTTTTAGATTGAAAACCATTTATTTTCATCAACGTGCCCCAAAGAAAAATTTGGAGCTCTAGCAAATTGATGTTTCTTTTTTATGTGCCCAAGAGAGCCAACGAGACAAACAAAGCAGTTAAAGAACACCATAGCAACGCTACAGCAAGGTCCGGCGAACACGCCTATATAACAAATGTAGTCCCGAAGTAAACCAGACTTCTGGCAAAATCAATTGCCCAATGAAAATCTGTATCTGTAGTCACTACACACGTTCAACATATTTATTCCTCTGTACAGAATGTTTGTGCATTGTGCTGCATGATCAGTATGATTCACAGATTTGCAACAAAACTTTTTCAACATCTAGTTTTGTTTCAACTCTTTTAAGCAAGCAGCTCATGCTATATATCAACATCTTGATTATAATAAGTTCCGTTGTTCACAAAATTTGCCAGATACGCCTTTCTGAAACAGGAATTGAGACTCAATTTATTCGTCACACAAACAATGGTTAAGATTGATTAAATCAGTAGCTAAAAATGCAGCGTACCGTGCAGCAAGGTCATCGTTGGGACGGTTATGAGGTGTCCAAACTGGATCACCAACAAACAGTCGCATGGCCTACACAAAGTTAAGCTAACTTAGGAAAACAGTAACATTAAAAATGAAGATGTAATATACACAATTGCAAGGATTGTGGATGAAAAGAGAATACACAATTACATAAGAAGCATATAGGCCAAGTAGAAGCTGAAACATGTCTATTTCAAGAAAAGTTTGGAGCTCTGTTAACAGATTTGGGTTATTGAACCAGGCCACCATAAGTCTGCTTATAATATTGATGAGAGTTTAATTTCTAATCTTTTCATTTTAAAGTATTTTTATATCGTCAATTCTCAAAAATAATTTGTCGTGACACGCACAATGCATGATTTTTGAAATTTTGATATCACAATGACTAAAAATACCAGTAACCATACCTTAATATAATTGTCTGAATCTAGAGTAAACCGGTGGTAAATTCCTGCAGGCAATACAATCATTGCACCTTTCTTCACCCATATGCGTATCCATTTATCATCACGATCCCTTACATCAAAATACCCTTCAACAAAGAATAATATGCACAAAATTATCAGTTTTACGGCTCTACATGTAAAAAAAATGCAAAAGAGAGCTGAAGATACAAGCTCAACATGACAACATAGAGCTACTTAACCTACCACTTCCAGCTACACAGTAACGGATTTCTTCATCAGTGTGCAGATGTTCCTCGAAGAAGTGCTTGATCTTCTCATCATAATTTGGAAGCTTTTCAGGGCAAACTTCACAGAAGTCCTTCAGGCATAAAAAGAGGAGCATGTATGAAGGTAAGATAAACTATGCTTAAAATATGATCATCTCATAAGAATATATAAGCAGGATATAAAAAAGAAAACCATGTAGGAATATCCACGAGCTTCACGAATTTTCTTCAATTCCCCATCAGTTTCATAGTTGTCAGCATCCAATCTCCAACTGAGAACCCCAAGGTCTGCAGTTTACAAGAGAATTAACAATATTTAACATGCAAAATCAATTATATTGTACATTTTGTAGAGATTCATGTCACTTACCATCGAGATGCTTTAAAGTAACAAATTGTTTAGGCTCCTTGTGATGTGGAAGCCTCTGATCCTCATCACTGTCATCCATGTACCATGCTTGGATGACTCCTTGTCTGGGATCCTGCACAACATGAAGAATCAATAATATCGTGACATAGTATTATTATAATTGAAGCCAAAATATCTTGATATATGAGAATTCCATGCAAAACATAATTGCCTAAATAATACTTCACTGTTCTCCTAGGTTGTTTTGGCCATGCTCCAGCATTTAGCACAAAGTAAATGACTCAATTGTTACTTCCAAGCGCCGATTTCCAACAGTTAAGTTCTTTGAAATACCAAATGTCCAAATTCAATAATACTAAAATGAGCATTGACAGTCAGGGAAAGAACCAAATCATAGCAGTGACTAAAACCAGCATTTTGCTCATCGAATCATCAAAATGAGTCTTCGGTGCACCTTGCACCCGTGTGTACACAACCTTTGAGTATTTTACAATGAATTTCAAGAATATACAAACGAAAAAACAAATTTTATTTACAGCATTGTTAACATATCCATTCTCAAACATATTAGGGAGCAACACATGAGCACATTCAACTAATAACAGTTCCAACACAAACATACAATTCTCATGATATCAATGCAGATTAAAACCCTAATATAGGAAAATTATAATATTACAACTCATCCAATTTGTTTATCAAGAAAAGAACCAAAACCCTTAAACCAAAAAATTAATATCAATATCCCATTCCACCCATTGTTTCGAAAAAATCGTCAACTTCAAAAATTCATTACAAAACCTAAATCGAGACGGCATTATTTGATTCAAAGATCAATTATGTGCCAATACCAAAGAACGAGTTCAGAGGACCTGTAGATCAAAATGTAGCATAAAAATTGAAGAATTTAAAATGGAGTAAAGAAGGAGAGAGGAAAAGAAAATGACTTGCGTAGGATTAGAGTGGCAAGGAAAAGCGCGCGCCATTATCGAAGAGCAACGAGTTCAGTTTCGAGTATCAAAATGTAGGGCTATGTTACGAACCAGTCGAACAGAGAAGAGAAAAGAAATGAAAGCTTTCACCTCAATAAATAAACCTAAGAAAAAAGAGAGAGCAGGGAATTGGATTTTTTACGAAAGTGAGCCTTATTAGCAAATTATTTACCAATCTAGACGCGTGGCCAAACTATTTACGAAACTAAGCTTCTGACATAAAACGCTGCATCGGTCAGCGTTTTTCTTGTGGTTATTATTTTTTAAAAAAAAATTCGTATTTTGTGAAATACAAAATTAAAAAAAAAAAAATTGGAAATACCCAAAAACGCTGACTGAGTTAGCGTTTTTCTTGTATCTATAACAGAGAAAAACGCTGACTGAGTCAGCGTTTTACACCTAAGCATAAAACGCTGCCTCAGTCAGCGTTTTATCTGCTGGCTGAAGGCAGCAACAGCAGGCCCCCAACAGCAGCCAGTGCAGCCTCCTTCCACATCCACCACCCTCTCCACATCCACCAACACCACCACCCTCCTCCTCCAAATCCACCACATCCACCACCCTCCTCCACATGTACCACCACCACCACCACCCTCCTCCTCCACATCCACCACCACCACCACCACCCTCCTCCTCCACATCCACCACCACCATCACCCTTCTCCTCCACATCCTCCACCACCCTCCTCCTCCACATCCACCACCTCCACCACCCATCCTTCTCCACATCCACCACCACCACATCCACAATTTATTTTGAACGAAATGAGTTAAACGTGGACAAATAAGGAATTTGAAATTCAAACAAGACATAAATTCATTCAAATAATTATTAAAATAATAATGTAATGTAAGTGTTATGTACAACAAACTAGAGGTCATTACAGCAAATCAACACAGATAATTCTATCCTATTCTGACTCATCAATTTGGTGTAACGGCTCTCTGTCCTGTATGTCCACTCTCGGCCTTTGACGACGGCTGTAGTGACGGATCGTGGTAAACGGGTTCGGGCGTACTGGCGGAGTCAGCTGGTTGGAAGATGGGTCATCAGGATGACGTAGGGGCGCGGAACTGCGAATGTCGTACTCCTCTGCGCCCGTGAATGACGAAGGATCACCCCCACAGCTACTCTGGTCAGCCTCGAACTGTGAGTGACTAGAGTGGCCGCCATGATCGTCCCGGGGGTGGACGAGATAGGCGTGACCATATCTCTGCAAGGTAGCCATGTCTGTAGAATCAACATCCATGTTATCCAGAAATGGTTCCTCCTCTTCGCTCTCAGCCTCATCATTTGTTTCCCGGAGCGCATCATACAGAGACAACTCGTTATTCACCATATGTTGTAGATTTTCAAGATGATTCACCAATGGTTGAGACGGTGATGTATGATCATCATGCTGCGTAGGTGAATAACTTTGGAGTTGCATGGGAGAAGATATAACTGTGTTCGATGTCGAAGGCCCAGATTGGCCAAACATTGTCGTAGATGTTCCACCATATACAAGTGAAGCTATATGTGAACTCAACGGCATCTGGAACCGATCGTCATGAAGCAGTCTGCTGAAGGACCCCATCCCATATTCAGTTGATGGAATGTCTTGTGAGGGCATTCGGAAGGACTCTGTGTAACCGGAAAAATAGGTAGCTTGTCGATCTGGTCGAGTACTTTGTTGCGTACACGTAGACACTATTTCTACATATATCTCATGTGGATAACCCCTCATTAAAACAGCGCTCCTCAAAGCTTTCAAGTGTCTATTGTTAGAACAAGGTAACACTTGAACCGCATTATTAGTCTCAAACCTCATTTGAATGTTAAGTTGTACATTCATTGGGTTTAAGCCAATAATGCTATGAACCTCGTTCATCAGATCGTTGAAAGTCATGTCCGGTCCAAGTGGCAATGGTTCCATATTTCCACCACTATACTGGACATTCGGTCCATCAGACACAAATTCACCCCCCATCGGCATAACAAAGCTGCGTTTTGTGCATCCATATTCTATACAACAACCAAAAACACATCTTAATTGCATGCAATCTCCACCAATTCGCACAAAAACAACCAAGATATTCACACTATAAACATAAATAACCAACATTGTTCCAATTCACATTACAACCACAACAAAGTACACAACGAACATATTCACACTATAACAACCAACATATTCTACATAACAAAATTTTCGTAATTAAACAACAATGTAGGCTACTTTATCAAACTAAAACAACAATTTCATCAACATTATCAACAATTTCATCAACATTTTCAACAATTTTGTCAAACATTTCCACAATTTCATCATAAACTTTCTTACTAAACTAACATCAATTTAGGGCTTTTATACTAGACAATTATCAAATTACAACAAACCAACTTAGAATTATCAACGTAATTGTCAATTTACATCAAACTAACTTAGAATAATCAACAACATTATCAAATTAAAACAATGTAGCATATAATTATCAAACTAACCTAGGTTTTTAAATTTTAAAAACAAATAAGTGAGAAATACTAACAATGTGATTATAAAGAAGAGGAGAGGCGCGGCGGCGGCAGGCAGGCGGCGGCGGCGACGGCTGAGCTTTAAGGAAGATAGGCTATTGCGTGAGGAAGAGTGAGTTTGAGTTTTTAGTTTTGAGGAAGAGTGAGTGCGCGAAAAATATACCAGGCAAAACCGCTGACTGAGGCAGCGTGTTTCTAGTATTAATGAAACGCTGCCTCAGTCAGCGTTTTAAGTCCTATTACAGCCTGAGACAAAAACGCTGACTGAGGCAGCGTTTTTATGTATTTCCATTTTTTTAAAAAAAAAAAAATTGTATTTCACTAAATAAGAATTTTTTTTTAAAAAATAATAACTGAGGTAAAACGCTGACCGAGGCAGCGTTTTACCTCAGAAGCTCAATTCCGTAAATAATTTGGCCACGCGTCTATATTGGTAAATAGTTTGCTAATAGGGCTCAGTTTCGTAAAAAATCCCAGGGAATTTCAGAAGGTTGTTTCTGACAAAGTAGTTGCTTGCTTTAAAAAGTTATTTCTGACAATTTTCCTTTAAAAACTGACCCATAATCAAGTCCAAGAGTTCAACCCATTTATATTTAGACTATACAAAAAACTGAACTCGTTTGCTAAATCTAGTTCATATTAAATCTACGATAATCACTTCACAATAATCACAACTAAAAGTTTGGATTATCCATATTAATTTATATTTTCATGAAAAATCCGGTCACCTATTTTTGATAAGTCGTTCACAAATTCTTATATGTGGCTGGTCACACGGTGCAGGTTACTTTGTCAGTGTTATGGGGTTGCTTTGTCAGTGTTACAGGGGTTACTTCGTCAGTGTTAAAGGGGTTACTCGGTCAGTATTATAGGGGTTACTCAATCAATGTAATAGGGGTTACTTGTTAGTATTTTACAAGTGGCCACATAGTGTGGCTAACCGCACACAAGATGGGCCGTTTTTCTTTAAATCTCATGAGTGTAAAAACAAGCAAAAGAAAATTGGCGAAATTAAGGACAAATACCAAAAACCGATGCAAGTATTACCTACAATACAGACTTGTGCAAGAAAAGCTTACAAGGAATAATAAAATTCTCTCTTATCTTAAAACAAACTACTTGCACCTAACATTTGGGGTGAGTAGTCAAGTACTAACCACATGAGACAAAATTGTGCATCCCTTGATGGCAAATCAAGGATGGAAGCAAGTGAATGACCTTTCTGGGTGATTCAACAACTACACTCGAGGGGAAATTTCCCTGTTCTCCTAACGAGCTAAATGAAGCATCCTGCAACTGAACTGCATGGCATTCTACAGCCCACGAGAATCATGTAACTCTTGATGTTAATGATGACTGTTCTCTTTGTATACCTTCTCCCCTTGGACTTCCACTTATGATTTTCTCTCTTGTATGTCTTCTCCTCTTGGATTCCCACTTATGGTTTTCTCTTTTTGTTAGATTTGTTGCCACGCTCATCTTTACTCCTTTTCTTCTCATTCTTACTGTCGCTAACCTTGCTCTTCTTCTCTGGCTTACTTTTGTTGGATTTAATACTGACTAAGCCACTTGAGGATATCTTTCCACCAAGGGTTTTCTCAAAGTCAGCCTCTACGGCAAATTGTTGAAGCAACTCAGGATTCAACAAGCCTTCAGCCTTGGCCTTCATGTCACTCTGATACAGCAATCAGTCTTAGTGCAATTGTAAAAAATGGAAACATAGGAGTTTAAACAGGCACAGCCTTATTCAGATTACCTTCACTCTCTTTGACGCGTTGTCTAGATCCTCCTCTAAAGATATTTTGTGAGGTTCCATCACAATCTATAAAAGAAATATTTGGTAAGAATGAAGAGATCACATTTAGTTATTACAATTTTGATAGTGAACATTCAGTAAGTAGGGTTTCTGGCATCTCTTTATGACAATACGAGAGCTGATATTAAACTTTAATCAAACATAAAAATATACCATATACAACCATGACCACTGAAGGACTATGTATGTGAGAATGCATAGGAAATTCATCTTATTTCCACATTCAAGGTCAGAATTCTTGGAATTTTCTTGACTTACTTCTTTTAGACGGGGAAGGGATGATTCAACGTCTTTGGTAGCAATACCATACAAGTATTTGTGGAACTTTTTCATCCCTTTTATGAACAATGACAATATTTGCTGCCTTTCAAGTTTCATCTGACCCTGAAAAACGGCAAAGGAGATACATTAGCAAAGATACATCTCACATACTAATAATTGCACATCTAGGATCTGTCTATGCAACACAAGCTTTTTAAAAAAAATACTCCTTATCCATTTATCCAAGTTCATCATTTACCTTAATACTTGTAAGAGAATAAAATTTGACCACAATCAATAGTTTTGCTCTAAATGGAGACATCAACATGAAAACCTTTCCAGATGCACAGGTAATACAAAAATTTGTAAAGATTTATTTATCAACAGCAAAGACAAGAGATGGAACCTCAATGTATGATACGTCTTGATTCTGCAAGCCAATACAGAGCAGAACTGATGCCTGGGCATATGACAATGTAACAGGGACCCTCTCTTGAAAGTATAAATGTGA